ATATCTCTAAGGGAGTCTAACATTTTTTCACTTCCTGGTACACTCCAGTCTTTCTTATCATGGTAAATAATTCCCTCTACATTGGCTTGGGTGTTCTGCTACTTAACCACATTCACACCCTGATACAATATTGGTTTTTTCACCTGTCATAACCTCTGCCCCACATTTCTCTTCACATAACATTTCCCTTTACTAACTTGCACCACCACCCTCTCAGGTCTGCAAACCATACATCCTCCCCTACAGGACCATGGAAACTTTATCAAACACCTCATACCCAGAGGGTACATCTGGTAGCCAAATAGAGAATATGGGGAGAGAATAAAAGAATGGGGTTATGTAGCTATGCCCATGCAAGAGCTCAGGCTTTCCCTAGCTGTTGGAAAGGACAGAAGAGGTGAGGAGCTATGACTCTGCTGTCCATGGACTTTTCAGGGGAAAGTGGTCATATATTTCATAGAAAATTAGGGTTGGAAGGGACCTCAGGAGGCCATCTAGGCCAACCCCCTCCTCAAAGCAGAATCATCCCCTATTATGTTATCCCAGCCAAGGCTTTGTCTAGCCTGGTCTTAAATACCTCTAAGGATGGAGAGTCCACAGCTTCTCTGGGTAATCTGTTCCAATGCTTTACTACCCTTCTTGTGAAAAAGTTTTTTTCTAATATCTAATCTAAACTTAGCTTGCTACAACTTGAGACAACCATTGCTGCTTCTTCTGTCATCTGCCACCGCTGAGAACAGTTTAGCTCCATCCTTTTTGGACTCACCCTTAAGGGAGATGAAGGCTGCTCTTAAATCCCCTCTCAGTCTTCTCTTCTCCAGACTAAATAAGACCAGTTCCCTCAGCCTCTCCTCAAAGGTCATGTCCCTGACCCCTGAGCCATTTTCATTGCTCTCTGCTGGACTCTCTCCAATTTGTCCACATCCTTTCTGTAGTGGGGGGGGCCAAAACCAGACAGTACTTCAGATCTGGCCTCGCACGGTGCAGTAACTGCTCATACTGTGCTGTACTTCCAAAAGGAAGTACTAAGCATAGTGCTGTAGCAATGTCACACGCCCATTGAGTCATCGATTACTACCCTTTGAGCCTGACGATCCAGGCAGTTTTCTATCCACCTTACAGTCCATTCATTTAACCCATACTTCCTTAGCTTGCTGGTGAGAATGTTGTGGGATACCATATCAAAACCCTTGTTAAAGTCAAGGTATATCACATCCACTGCTCTCCCAGCACGCAAGCCATTCATCTCATCATAGAAGGCAATTAGGTTGGTCAGGCATGACTTGCCCTTGATGAAACCATTCTGACTGTTCATAATCACCTTCTTCTTCGAGTGCTTAGAAATGGGATTTCTTGAGGACTTGCTCCATGATTTTTCCATGGACTGAGGTGAGGCTGACTGGTCTGTACTTCCCCAGATCCTCCTTCTTCCCTTTCTTAAAGATGGGTACCAAGTTTGCCCTTTTCTAATTGTCCTGGGTCCCTCCCAATTGCTATTTTGCAAAAGTAATGGCAAGTGGCCCTGCAATCACATCAATCAACTCCCTCACCACCCTTGGGTGCATCGTGCCTGGCCCCATGGACTTGTACACATCCAGTTTTTCTAAATACTTTCTAACCTGTTCTTTTGCCACTGTTGGCTGCTCCCCTCCTCCCCAAACTCTGCTGCCAGGTGCAGTAGTCTGGGAGCTGACCTTGCCGGTGAAGACTGAAGTGAAAGAGGCATTGAGTACTTCAGTCTTTTCTGCATCCTCTGTCACTAGGTTGCCTCCCTCATTCCGTAAGGGACTCACACTTTCCCTAATCTTCCTTTTGTTGCTGACAAACTTGTAGAAACCCTTCTTGTTACCCTTCACGTCCCTTGATAGTTACAACTCCAGTTGCACTTTGGGCTCCCTGATTTCATCCCTGCATGCCCAAGCAATACTCGTATACTCTGCCCTATTCATTTGTCCAAGTTGCCATTTCTTGCAAGCTTCCTTTTCGTGTTGTAGCTCACTGAACAGTTCTCTGCTAAGCCAAGTTGGTCTTCTGCCACACTTACTGGACTTCCCGTGCATTGGGGTGGTTCATTCCTGCACCCCCTATAAGGTTTCTTTAAAATACAACCAGCTCTCCTGGACTCCTTTCCCCCTCAGACTGGCCCCAGGGGATCCTGTCCATAAGTTCCCTGAGTGAGTCAAAGTCCGCTTTTCTGAAGAAGTCCTCTGCTCTTCTTCTTCCTTTCCTCAGGATCCTAAACTCAATCATCTCACAGTCATTGCTGCCCAAATTGCCATCCACTTCTACATTACTCACCAATTCTTCCATGTTTGTGAGCAGCAGGTCAAAAAGAGAAAGGCCCCTAGTTGGTGTTTCCAGCACTTGCACCAGAAAATTGTCCCCAACACTCTCAAAAAACTTCTTGGATTTTCTCTGCATTGCTTTATTGCCCGTGCATTGCTGTATTGCCGTCCCAACAAATGTCAGGGTGACTGAAGATCCCCATGAGAACCAGGACCTGTAATCTGGAAACTTCTGCTAGTTGTTGGAAGAAAGACTCATCCACTTCATCCTCCTGGTCTGGTGGTCGATAGCAGACACACACCACAACATCACCCTTGTTGCTCTCCCCTTTGACCCTAACAGGCCTATCTCCAATTTCATGCTGAAGCTCTGAGCAATCATACAGCTCTTTTACATAAAATGCAACTCCTTCTCCTTTTCCCCCCTGTCTGTCCTTCCTGAACAGTTTGTACCCATCCATGACAGTGCTCCAGTCATGCGAGCTCCCACCAAGTCTCTGTTATTCTAATTACATCATAGTTCTGTGACTGTGAGGACTTCCAATTCTTCCTGTTTGTTTCCTATCAGTGTGTGACTAGTCAGCATCATCTGAATTATGAAGTCCTACTAATGGAGGGAAGGAGAGTTCTCTACATTTCTGTTTTTCTTCCCAGACCTGGATTAAGGCAGTCTGGGCTTTACCCACACTATGACACAGTGCTGCCTCATTTCCACATATAGAATAGTAGTAATAGTAGTAATGTAAGGTCCTCCTCCCTTCCTAGAGAAGTCAAAGCAGTGTTTTGGGCTCTCCTTCCATTGAGAACTTCAGGGGCGACAAGACGATGTGTCCCATCAGTCCAAGGTGTCGGGGATGGGGTCTCCAATCCACCTGCCCCACCCTCAAGTGCATGCTGGGCAAACCCCAGACTGAGCTCCCTCCCCTCCCTTCCCCGCCTCCTATTCTGAAGACAGCCCGAGAGCTGGGAGGCAGGGGGCAAGGCTAGGGTACAGCAACTCCTGACACACAGCCACTCCAAACAGGAACTCTCTCCTCCAACACCTTGGACTCAACAGCAACTTCCGTTGGGTCGGTGGGGGAGATGCTGTAACTCAGGGGAGTACTTGGAATGGTCCTATGGGGTACACGCAGGCAGGCAGGGATGGAGCGCCACCACTCACCACCCCGTGCACACCGCCTCCCAGGAGCAGGGCCGGGGCGGTGAGGGCAGCAGCACCCCTCTGTGGGCCACACAGGCACCGCCAGGCTGGCCGGATGTGGGGGGAGGGATGAGATGGAGCTCGCACGCAGCAGCTACCACCAGCATCCGCCACCCCATGCCACCGCTGCGTGCAAGCTTCCCTCCCTTCCCCCACTAAGCATCCAGCCGCCACCACCAGAAGGGGTATAGTTCTTAAAAAAAGTTGAAAACCCCTCTTGTAACTCATGGTGTAACTCATGAGTTACAGCGGGGAGCTGCACATCTGTCAGTGCCCTGGAGGACAGGCAGTTTCCCAGTACTTACCTCAACAGCTGCATCTGTCTGCTTGTATGCTCTGGGCTGAATTCACTGTATTTGTCATGCACAATCCTCTGCTGGGATGCAGGCAATGATGAGGTTTCTCAGGAGTAGATCTCAGGCAGAGGGCAATTTATACCTTAGAGCTATTATTTCAGAATGCCTGCAGACTCAGACAGACATAAATGCATCAGTTACACCTTTGTCATAGTAACTTCTCTTTCACAAACACAGGGATTAGAAACCATTTTTAAATGAGAACCAAAGGCATAGGTACATATACAAAATGTGAGGCAAAGGGGACAGGGCTTTAACACATGTAATCTGCTCTGCAGCAATTGCTGGTATGTATGTTTTTATCCCTGTGGTAAATGAAAGCTACCCAGTGATACCCTACCTGCTAGGCAAAGATAGATAAGCCACTGCACATTCAGTTTGTGGGGTTTTTTTCAGGGTAAGAGCATGAATGTGGACAGTTACTGAGGGTCTGATTTGTGGTAAACTGGTTGTGGGCCCATGCCCCACTGACTGAAGGAACTGGGGCCATAGAAGCAAGCTTGTAGCTTTATGTGTGACATGGTTGGAAGGGTCTATGGTAGTCTACTGGTCCCCACAGTCTGAGAAAGTAGGAAAGCATTTCTCCATGGGGCTCTACCCAGTCAGCAGCTCCAGGACAGCCTTCCGCTCAGAACTTTGCCCAAACTGGCAGCTCCCGACTGACCTGATTCTTTATGATTTTAGTGTTGAGCACGTGATCCTGAAGAGCAGCAGCCCAATCTGACAAGAGGCTGGTCAGGTTTCACTCTGCTGCACCTTGACAGCTCTGAGCAATAGCACAAACGTTAAAGCTCCTAGTGTGCAAGCTTGGACAGACAGCACTGCACTAGCTTGCACCCTGTTCCCAGCTAGAAGGTTATCTGTGCAAACAAGTACTTAATTTTGAAAACAGAAGCCTGCAGCAGTTATGGACACGTTCCTTCCAACTGGCTACAGGTGAGCAGGTTTTTCAAGCCTTGTTTGGCCTTTTGATTTTAAAAAGGTAAATGAAAATACCAAAGAAGAGGCATCAGAAGTGAAAAGAGAGGAAGAAGGTAAGAGTGAGGCTGGCAAGGGTGGAAGATTCACTCTGTGTGTAAATCCAATCCTTTCTGAGCTCCACCCTGCCAGTGGCATCCATCGCCAGGGAAACAGGATCTACCCTGAACTAATTTGTGTATCTGGAAAATCTTATTCCTAAAACTGTTCTCAGACCCAAGGAAATCCCAGCTTTCCTCTCCAACGTTTGATGGCGTAGTGATGATAGCCATCTGGTACCCGTGTGTGGCAGCTACCTCAGCAACTGAAAGGGAAGAGAGAGATCCTCCTGTCTGGTGACTTGTATTGCCTGTGATGTATGCTATAGAAATGAAAAACTAGTATTTACTAAGGCAGAGTGTTTTCTGAAAGAAATGGAGTTTCCAATACTGGCATCTTATATGTGAAGTTGCAACCTGTGGTTACTCATTACCAAGATTTTCAAGAAATGTAAAGGGAGGGAAATGATTTTAAAAGTACCTTGGGATCAGTGTAAATTGCATTATTGCCATCAGATGTGGTTTTATTTCATACTATTTACTAAACAGGAATTATAACCATGGCAACATTTATATCATGACACACACTATATATATGGATCTGCCAACAGCAAGAGTGAAGTGCATGTGTGGAGACAGAACTTTTTGCAAGTAGAGTGTGAATGTGGAACTCACTTCCAGCAGAGATCAGGATGACCACACACGTTATCACCTGCAAAACAAGCAAAATGCATAATTTACCACTTCAGTCTAGTCTTACCCCAAGAAAAAAAACCATGTAGCATTACTGAGATAGTTCCCACCTCACTGTAGTGACATACATACTTACTAAGTGAGGTCCATTGGGATGAATATCATGTGACTCCTTGAATTTGTAGGAGTCATAAAATACGAATAATCTTTACACAGGGCTATATAGCAATCAAACTGAAAATTGATCTTATTCACAGAAATTATAGAAATACATTGTTTAAACACTTGGTATGAAGTTTATTTCATTTTCTGATAAAAAAGGAGGGGGTAAGAGGAACATAGGACTACAAGAGACCTCCTGGATCACTGAGCCGGACCTTGCCACAATCACATTGGTACATTCACCAAACACATTCAAATCAGTTAGTTGTTTTTTTGCCCTCACTTGTTGAAAATCTGTTTCAGAATCTCCTAGTAGAAGAAGTTTGCTTTAAGAATTAGGAGAAAGTTCTGGGAAATACAATACCATTTTTGTATATCCATAAATCTAACTTTTTTAAACTAAAGGAATGAAGTCAACTAAGACATATTTCTGTCAAAAATATTACAGGCTGTTTGACTATAAAACTGAAATATTTCTCATTTAGATTATATTGCGAATTTTACAACACTTTGTCTACTGCCAATTGTACTGTTTTCCATGAAGTCGGTTTCACTATTTGTTTGCATATGTTACACAGCAAACAGAGAGAAAAACAGATCTATATAAATAAGCTAAGAAAAATTATTTGGGAGACCTGTAGGAAAGTGTGAAACTAGCTTTCAAGCTGACTCTGCCCCTTTAACAAATACAGTGACTGCTTTTTATTGCTGCCAGACAACATTTCAGGATACCTCATCACCCTATCTGATGGAATATCTCATGTGGAATAACTTCTTTGAGTCAATGCTATAAATGACAATTATGCAGAAGAGAAGGTTGCATCATGCATCTCCCTTGCTGCCTTAGTAGTAAGTAGTGATGCTTTTAGGAGGGGCACACTAAAGAGTCTTAATGATGGTACTGGTCCATGCAAATATCACTAATAATGTGGAAAAGTGTTAAATTTTCTGTTCTGTACTCAAGGAAAGAGCCAGATTTCATCATATCACAGGAAGAAGAAACACTTTCCATTCCAGCAGTAACTCAAGAGGACGTTAAACAGCTGCTAAAGCTAGACATTTTCAAATTAGTACGTTCAAATAACTTCCACCGAAGAATCTTAAAAGCACTGTGTGAAGAGCTTTCAAGGCTGTTAATGTTAATTCAGTAAGTTGTGGAACACAGCAAAGAAGTTCTAGGGAACAGAAAGAAAACTTGTGTGTCAATATTTTACAAAGGTAAACAGGACCACCCAGATAATTAGAGGCTGTCAGTCTGATATCCATTCTAGACAAAATAACAGAACAGTTGATACAGGACTTAATTGATTTTTTTAAAAAGTAATGAGAAAACAGATCCATCAAACTACCTTGGTTATCGAATTACATGTTTGATAAAATAATAGTGCTGATGCAATACTTAGATTAGCATTATGTAATTGACTTGGTACCAGAGGACACTTTGATTGTGTCTCATTTACATTTCTTAATCAATATGGTGCACATCAAACAGATTAAAAACTTTCAAAATGTAATTGTAAATAGAGAATTGTCATAAAGTAGGTGTGTTCCTAGTAAAGTCCTAAGAAGGTACTTCGGGGTTTTGTTCAATTTAAAAGCATAACCAATAGAGTCTGTTGATGACCTAAGGCTTGGGGAAGTGGTAAACCATAAAGGAAACAGGTTACTGATAAAAAACCTTCTAGATAGTTTAAGCCAAAGGCTAACAAGCATGGTGTCCCATGGCCAGCCATGAAGTCATACTTCTAGGATGAGGAAGGCAGGCTATATTTAAAGAATAGGGAGCTATATACTGAAAAGCAGTGATTCTGAATATGACTTGAGGGTTTTGTTAGATAAGCAGAGCTTGCATGTAAGGCTGAGAACCCCTTTCTGTTTACAATCCCCCTGCCTGTGTGGCGTGCCCATGGGGCTTCATGGTAAAGTTAGTGTTCCGAATGTGGGGATAGCAGGGTCGGGGGGTTCCCAAGACCTATTCTCCTGGCAAAGTGAGTGAAGCAGCTTTTCTTAAGGCTGACATTCTACCAAGATTTTCTCCACACACACCAGGGGACCAAAACGTGGTTGTGATTGTGCCCAAAACATTGCAATTGTTTGATCATTACCCCAAGTAGATTATGGTGCCCTCATTCCCTTTCAGAAAAGAATGTTGAAAATGGAATTAAAAAGAAGTTTGGCTTTCAATAGGAGTATGGGCTAAACAGATTATGTTGTCCATGCTTAGACAAAGTAGCATAAAGGGCTTGTAGCCTGCCAGATTTCACATGAGCTGGGTAACTCAAGGTGATTTAAAGTAGCTATTGAAGATGACCTATGCCCATCCAATGTCAGTTTAAATCCACCTCTTAGTAGAAATCTGGAGGGAGGAAAAAAATTGACTATAATCTTTCTGTCAAAAATGTTGTTGTTTATTTTGAGGAACTATATTCTGAGAACAAGAGGAAATTCAGAAGGCATTCAAATAGTGCTTTGCAAAAAAAATAAATTATGCTTCTTGGGAGGGGGATAAAGGGAGAGGAGTGAGAGGTATGGAGAAGAGTCGAGTATGTGGCAGTGGTGAGGGGAATAGGGTCACTGGAAACAAAAAGGGTTTGAAGGCTCAGGCCAGGGTGGGGATTAAGGGAGGAGTAGAATGTTAGAGGAGGTGATATGGGATGGCTTGCAGGGGATATGGGGTCAGCCCCACAATTTCCTCTAACATGCACTAGAATCTGGGAAGCTGTGTCCCTTTTGGGTTGTCTGAACTCCTCTCTACTCCCAGATGAGCTGGAAGGATGCTCAGAGCCATTCTGGTTGAGTCTAAGTCCCCCCTCTTCATCCCCTGCACATGTGCTGGCATCTAGTGGGTCCTGTCTCTCTAGAGCCATCTGAACCTCTCTCTGTCTCCAACAGGGGCTGGTATTTAGGGAAGTCTAACCTACCTGTATAGGGAACTAAGAACAGGAAGGCTGAAGGCATGCACAAGGTGCACTATACTGAGACTGTCTGAAGAGCTTAATCAGCCTCAAAGCACAGGAATGAGGAGGAGAAGATGAGAACCGAGCACTGAGATGAAAGGAGCATTCATATCTCATCTCTGTATTGGGCCTCAGGTTGGATGTAGGTTAATTGGACCCAAACAAAGGAGGAAACATTGTGTCAGATCAGCAGTTCACCTAATTTGCCTAATATCTGATGAAGGTATAGTCTTCCCAAACTTTTCCAGGTGAAAGAAATTTCTGCGTCTTAGGCCTTGGCCATCTGGGGTGCTCAATGCTTTCAAGTGGATAAGTCAGTTGAAGCACAGGACAATTTGTACCTCATAGAACTGGTACTCTTGTTTATCAAGGGTTTTGCATTCTCCATATCAATACACCAAAACAACCAATAGAAATATCTTGCTATATCCCAATTTTCTCTATGCAACAAAGTAAGAAAGATTTTTTGCTTACCTGAAAGTCTCTTTTCTCCAAGTAACTAAGACTAAATATCGTCTAAAATTGGCACTTTGGCCTGCTTGCAGCATGACAGCAAACTACACTGGCACCAGGATAGTGCCCCCACTCACTAATTATTATGGAGACTCACAAACTGGACCTGCATGTAATTTTTATCAAAGGAATCACTGTGCAGTGGTGGGAACTCAAAAGCAGTATGCAGCTATGTATGAAATTTAAAGTAAGTAGGAAAGCATGTCTGAATGAGATCAGCATTCCTAATAGGCTCCAATAAGAATTGAATTTTTGTCTGTGATACTATTTATTTTCCTTTAGGGTCATCTGTATCTCCTGTTAACATTCTTCTAAGATGAGACCTTGTCTCTGATTGTATTCATCCACAGACCAGACTTGTGAATGACTTTCCGGTTGCTATCAGTCAGTCATGATGATTCAAAGATAGCCTAGAAATTGCATCACTGTGCTTTGACTTCTTGTCTAGAAAAATCCTTAATCAAAAAGAAAATGTTCAGAAAGAGATAAATGAATTTTCCTTCTTCTTTACAACCAGTATTAATAATATCATGATCATGGAAAAGACTCTAGAAGCTCTTATCAGATCATATGGGAATGATTGAATTTGTTAAAAAAACCCAAAGCCCTGTCATCCATATGCGAACTGGAGGAACTGTCTGGGGCTTGGTGAGATGGAAACTAGACTAAGTCTACTTAACCTCTCCTAGTAAGATTTATAGATGGTAGTGTTGGAAGGGACCTCAACAGATCATCAAGTCCGACCCCCTGCCTAGGCAGGAAAGAGTGCTGGGGTCAGATGCCCCCAGCCAGATGCCTATCCAGCCTTCTCTTAAAGACCCCCAGGGTAGGGGAGAGCACCACCTCCCTCAGAAGCCCATTACAAATTTTGGTCACCCTTACCATGAAGAAGTTTTTCCTGATATCTAGCCTAAATCTGCTCTCTGTCAGTTTGTGAACGTTGCTCCTTGTTACCGCAAGAGGCACCCTGGTGAACAGAGCATCCCCGATCCCTTGCTACGTCCCCCATAATGAATTTGTAGGCGGCCACAAGATCACTTCTCAGCCTTCTCTTGCGGAGGCTGAAGAGGTCCAGGTCCCTTAGTCTCTCCTTATATGGCTTTTCCTATAAGCCCCTAACCATACGAGTGACCCTTCTCTGAATGTTTCAGATGGAACCCCTCTCTTTGCTCCCAATTCTGTCATCAGAAACTGGGGGGAGAAGGGGTTGTATTGCTGTCATCCAGAGTAGCTCCTGAGCAATTCTTTTAATGTCATATATCCTTGGGTTGCCCAAGATTAAGAATGGGATAGAGTTGTTTTTTTAATTTTTGCACAAGAAATTTCAGCCTGAGGCAGACACCTGGTATGGAAGAGTTCAGCCCAACTGATCAAGTTTGGCAGTTAG